TAACTCTCTATCTCTCTCCCTTCCTCTCTGTAAAAAAATCAATAAAATATATTTTTAAAAAAAAAACATCAAGTGAAGCAGTCACAGGAAAGAGTGAGGCCAGTGGTGAGCACGTGACCAGTATGAAAGTATGAATGAAAAGCTTTCGCAGTTGTCCTTTCAGGCTTAAAGGGAACAAGAAGTGCCTGGAAACCCCCTAATGGAGAGAGAAGCTGCAACGCCCCTGGGAGCCCAGTACCTCTTACTCTCATCATCATGTGGAACAGTGAAGCAGCAGCAGCCTGGCATCACCTGGGAGCTTGTTTGAAATGCAGAATTCCAGGCCATACCTCAGCCTACACAAAAAAAGCCAGATTTTTGTGTATGTGATAGTATACTATGTTAGTACAGTTTGGGTAATATGAATATATTTAAAATCTTTTTTCTTGAAATATTAATTTTTATTGCATATTAAAACTATTATATTTAAAATAGTTTTTCTTGAAATATTAATATTTATTGCATGTAACTATTATATTTAAAATCGTTTTTCTTGAAATAAAATGTTTTTAATAAAGTGAGGGGAAAATAATAAAAATAAATCAGAATTTAAATATTAACAAGGTCTCAGGTGACTTGTAGGCACATTAAAGTTGATGTAGACAGGGAAAAGGAGGAATTATCTTGACACAGGCAGACCTTCTTTTAAGACATGCCAATAGGAGTGACCTCTAACCTTCTCAAAGGCTGTACAATAGCCTGCAAAGCGCTACATGATGTAGCAAGTTCAGTCCCCACCCCCACCCCCAACTTACCTCTCTGAACTCTCTGACCCCACCCCTTCCAACAGCCTCCTTGCTGTTGTCAAACTCTAGGTAAGCTCCTGCCTCCTCTGCACTGGCTCTTCTTTTGCCTTAAATGCTCTCCACTCAGATATGGTCAGTCGCCTTAGCTGGCTACCTTCACACTTTGCTTCAGTGCCACCTTCTCCGTGACTAGCCAATGTAAAATGACCACCCATCCCCATCCCTCTTACCCTGCTCTACTTTTTCTTTTTTCATAGCAGTTATCACCTTCCAACACACGATACCAATTATTGTTTATTAGCTGTCTCTCTTCTAGAATGTCAGCTCCCTGGGGGCAAGGATCTTTGTTGGTTTTTGTTGTTGTTGTTCATATGTGCTTACAACAATGTCTGATACATGAAGAGTATTCATTGAACAATCGTTGAAAGAACCAATCAAAGAATTTTTGAAAAAGGGTTTATACATTGATTGTCTGAAATTCAGAGTGCTCCTTTTTTGCCCACAGAATCTATGTGATAGGTGGTTATATACTCAGATCAACACTGGAACCCTATTGAACTCATAATGTAGCAAAAAGGAAGTTATCTTTTGTTATGGATACCATTCAGGGACAGTTGTTAGGTGAAAATTTAAAATGATAAATTTAAGAAATTGAATTAGGGGATTAATCCAAGCATCACCTTCCATTCCTTTTGGAGGCCCTTTCATTATCACTCCTTTCCAAGGCCTTCCTGATCTTCCCAGACCATAATAAGCAGCTCTGTCCTTGATCTCATGGGGAATTCATTAACTGTAATATTCATTTGGCAATTAGACATGAAGTTTGGTGCCAGTCCTTGTACAAAATTGCCCCTGAAGCTGAATAACCACAGTCTGGAACATTCTGTAAATCTCAGAAAATATGAAAACATCAACTGACGGAGTCACATCCTTTTATAAACTGAAAAAATTGATGGGTTGGCCTACTTCTCAGAGCACACACAGCTTGACCAACCTCTGTTGTCCACAGCCTTAATCCAGCATCAGCATCTGCGTCATTTCACACCCGCCCGGGGCTAAGCCACTGCAGGATTAACATAGGCTGGACGCCTGCGAAACGATGTTTATTACACAATCTGCCTTGAGCCTTTTTTCTTCATGCCAGAGAGATAAGCATCACAGTATCTAGCATGGGCCTTGCACATTTTAGTCATTATAATGAAAGTTCACTTTTATTGTAAACTTTATACAGTGCCATCTTCTAATCTGATTAACCCCACAGCCACACCATTGGGGTGCAGTTAAAATTTGGTTACTGCTATACGACAAGGGTCTCTGCTTTTCCCAAGGTCACACAGCTAATCAATGGTTTTAGCCCAAGCACACAGGCTCCTAACCACAAATCCATGATGTAAAGTTATTGTTAGAGAAATGAAAATATCAAACTCTCCCTAGTCTGTAAAAATACCTTTCAATGTTCAAAAATTATATATATAAGTATGCATACACATCCTATATTTATATACATACAAACTCATACATCAGTTAGTCATGAATCATTTTTCCATGGGGTATATACCTGCTATGGTAATATTCACATAGGTGAGTTTAGTTTCAACAGTTCAACAGTTTGGGAATAAAGACTGTTTCCATTTGCACTGCATTTATCATAAGCATTCTGTGAATAGTATGAGAAAAATCAAGTTTACCATCATGAACTCATAAATCTGAGGGTGTTTTGACATTTTTCTAATAATTAGAAGCCTGACTCCATAATATCAGCATTTAGTTGATTCTTTTATTATTAATTTTTTTATCCTCACCCAAGGATATGTTTTTATGGAGGGAGGGAAGTAGGGAGGGAGAGAGAGAGAGAGAGAAAGAGAGAGAGACACATCGATCGGTTGCCTCCCATACACACCCCAACTCAGGATCAAACTCCCAACCTAGGTATGTGCCCTGGCTGTGAATCGAACCCACAACCTTTTGGTGTACAGGCCCATGCTCCAACCAACTGAGCCATCAGGCCAATGGCTAATTGATTCTTTTATATGTGATATTTCATCAATAGTAAATGCTAAATACTCATAAAAACACTTTTCAAAATATTAGGATAACTAATCTTTACTTTTGTTCTCTGAAACTTGTACTTCCTCCCTTCCTTTTAAGGTCTGTTTTCCTTGAATCCTAGAAATCAACAATTCCAGCGATCCAGCCTATTCCCCAGCCAAGAGCACAATATTCCCCACAGGCTCTGGCAGAGCTTTAAGATCCCAGACTTGACATTTTTAGCCACAGGGCTTTTCTCTTTCCCCAACGAGGTAGTTCAGTCTATTCTATGGCAGTGAGAACTGCTTACTTTATGGAATTTTGCCAACCAACCCTCCTAGGTTATGGAGCATCATGGAAAAGAATGGGGTTTCATAGGGAATGTTTTCAAAGCCAAGGAGGAAGAGAAAAATCTGCCTTTTATGGTAAATTTCAAAAACTATTTAAACTTAACATTTTGAGAAATGTGCCTAGTTTTTCCCAGTTCCCCCCAAAAGAGCAAAATTTTGTAGAACACCTAGGTCATTTGGTTCACACCATATAAGTAGCTGTAAGATCATTTAAAATAGTAACAGATATAGTCTTCCTTCTTGGCATTTCCTTTTTACCCTACAACATTTTCACCATTAAGATGAGATCTCTAGCCTGAGGCTTTTGTCCTAGAGAAGGGAATATACCAAAGAACCCAGCAGAATTCAGCAAGTCATAGTCTTCACTTTGAATTTCAAAATAGGCTATTGAGAGGGGAAGATATAATAGCATTGAAGAAAGGGGGGGGGGAATGTAGCTCATCAAAGGCAAATCCTGGAGC